CTGGGTCTAGTGTCCTGTGTCGATGAGGCCTGAGGTCCTGGGTCTAGTGTCCTGTGTTGACGAGGCCTGAGGTCCTGGTTGCAATGTCTTCTCCTGGGAGCCCAGGAGGAGGTGGTTCTAGACAGGTAGTTCCTGCTCTTGGCTATCTGCCCAGCTGGGCTCGCCCTGAAAGCAGGAAGTGGAGAGGGATTAATAGTTAACTAGCAATAAAGATGTATGAAAAAATAATTAGTAGCTGAAAGGTGTTTTGAATTAAAGAGAAAAAAAAAAGCAAACAAACTAACCCAAAGAAAGTTAGAAAAATCCACCCACCCTCTTGGTCTCCGCAGGAAGGTTACTCAGTTTGGAACCTAATTCTACCAGGTGGCAGCCATTAGTTTGTCCTCTGCAGGTGGCGGGAGCGGTCAGCTGCGGGGCGAATCGACCACAGGGAGCCTGATGAGAAAGGCCCCCCAGCACCGAGCTGACGTAACAGGGGCTCAGGACGCATTTGTTGATTAGCGGCGCCCGTGCTGGCAACGCTGGTAGGAGCTCTTCCATGATGAAACGTCCCAGATCTGTGCTGCCCAATACGGCAGCACTCACTGCATGGGACTGTTGAACACTTGGACTGTGACCCGTGCGGCTGAGAAACTAAAATTTTAATTTAATTTAAAATAGCCCATGCAGCCAGTGGCTGCTGCACGGGACGGTGCAACCTTTGAGGATGCCCAGCGTTTGCATGGCCTCTGCCTGGGGTGTCCGCCTGCCGCTGCGGGGCTGTGGGGCAGCGTGGCCAAGACAGCAAGCAGCCCCCATGGACCACCTGTGATTCAGCCGCCGGGGCTGATGGCTGTCTTCCCAGACCATATATTCAAACCCCAAACACGTGACTGTACCCAGCTCCCGACCCCGGCATCCCTGGACCGTGACAGTGACAGTCCCACAATTTCTTCCAGTTGACATTTGTGAAACATAAACATCTCGGTTCCCCAGGTTTTTGTTAAAGATCAGAGGCTGGGAACCAGCATTAGGTAAGAGCATGTCTCCCCAGTTGAACCTTAAAGCCCGGGCTGCTCCGTGGGCAGCCGACCCTGCATGTTCACAGACTGCTCTGTGTAAAGGTTCTGTCTCGTTTAAATTGAGGAGCAAACGTTGACAAACTTCTGTAAAGGTCCAGGGAGTAAATGTTTTAGGCTCGTGGGCCATGTGGCCTCCGTCATTACTACTCAGCTTGGCCATCGTATCATGAAAGCAGCCAGACGTTACGTAAACAAACCCACAGTCGTGTTTCAATACAACTTTATTTATAAAACCAGCCAGAAAAAACAAAAATTTTTTAAGGGACTTCGTTGGTGGTCCAGCGGTTAAGACTCTGTGCTTCCACTGCAGGGGGCACGGGTCAGGGAACTAAGATCCCGCATGCCTCGCGGTGTGGCCAAAAAAAATCCAGTTAACTGGATTTGTCCCACAGGCCTGCCACCAGCCAATCCCTGTTATAGAGGATTTTCAGATGGCTGGAAACGGAATCTACTTTTCTTAGAATTCTCTGGTTAATGACCTCTGCATGAAAGGCCAGCTAACAGGAGAGCCCATAAATGGTGGTGGTGAAGGGCCAGACTCTGGTCAGACGGTCTGGGTGTGAATCTGACTCAACCACCTTCCGGCGGTTTGACCTAAGCTATGTAATCAGCTCCTCCAAGCCTCTGTGTCCTGAGCTGCTACGGGGAGATGGTCATCTTACCGTACACGGTTGTTATGAGGATCCCGTGAATTCACGTATATAAGGCGCTTAGAAAAGCCCAAGAGAAATAATTAGCTATTGTCAGTTTGCCCTCACCCGCGTTCTCAAATGTAGTTGAAAATGCTTTGCGAGTTCCCTCCGGCTCATGTTAGGTGCAGACCGAGTATCTGAAGTTTCAGTGTTTTAGGGACAATGGTAAATTTGAGTCCTCTGTCTTCCTGGGTCCAGACTGCTGCTGCCCATGCAGAAGGACCATCCTCCATGTCCTTAGGCGGCTGTCCTGTCACCAGGGAAGGACCTTCCTGACCCGGACGGCCACTCTCACTTGAACTGTGAGAGCCCACGACCCCATAGCTGCAATTCCCACTCTCGCTGGTAATGCAGGGGTTCTCAGATTTGCGGGTGCTTGAGTTGAGCTGTATTTATGGTATCAGAAGACTATACAACAGTTAGCAAAAATCTCTTTACCCCGGGGGCCTTCCAAAATGACTCTCTGCCTTCCCCTCCACTGCCTGGAAACCCCGCCAGAGGAAGGCCTGGCTTTTTTTTTAATAGATGGGGAAACGGAGGCCCAGAGCGTTGAGATGGCTTATTCGAGGTTACAAAGCTAATGGCAGAGCCAGGATTAAAATGGAGTTTCCTGTCTCCTCACTCCTATTTACTGACTTTTATTTTCTCCTTCCAAGTGATAAATTCACACCTAGCACAGTACTGAACACGTGGTTGGTATCTCCCGATAAGGGATGCTATCAGGAAGGGGGCGGGGCAGCTGCTCAGCACTGCTGATGCCCCAGCTCTGCGGGGGGATTTCTTCACCTCCTCCTCTCTCCTTTGGCCTCCCCAGAGCACGGCGCCTCAGATGACAGCTCCCTGTTGGACGGGCTGCTCCGTGAGGAAGGTGAGAGGGCGGTTTAGGGGCTGTTGTGAGCGCTGGGCTCCTCCGCGAGAACTCGGGGCTTGGGCGGCGTTGGCTGTGAGTTCTCAGTGAGCTAAAGGAGGCGGGAGCCGGGCTGGGCTCAGCGTCCGCTCCACCTGTGCGCCCTGTGCGTGGGTGAGGGGGGGATGTGCTGACGCTTTGCCGGTCCAGGTGCTTGGTCATCGTGACCGGGAGGGGAAGGGGAATCCAGCAGAGCCTTGGGCCCCGGGCCTCCCTGCCTTTGCCTGGGACTTAGCCTTTACGTCCATACGCACCCGTCAGAGCCTCAGCCATCGGGCCACGGTCATTGCGCTTTGTGAAAACAGGGTAGCACTGAGGGAGGAAACACAAGTCCGTAGATTGAGAACCCTGGTGACAAACCCTAACGATGCTGAGGGGTCAAGGTGGGCCAAGAGGGTGGTGAGGTCCTGCCCAGGGGAGGGCCCAGGCCAGTAAGGAAACAGCACACGTGGGCACAGCGTGAGAGGAAGAAGAGGGAAACAGGAGGTTAGCTGCAGATATGGCATCAGGAATAAAGGTTAGAGAGGGGAGTCATGTGAGCCAAGAGAGTCAATCTGGGGAGGCTTCCTGTAGGAGGCAGGTATAAAATGGAGCTGTAAGGAGTAAGTCTGAAAGGAGAATAAAGTGTTTAGAAGCATCTGGGCCCAGAGCCATGGCCTGGCACTGCCAGACTGGCAGCCACGGGAGGGCGGGCCAGGCACAGGCCACGGAGGTTCTGGTTGGGCTGGTTCCCCCACCACTGCCCTCCCGGGCTTCCTTTACCTGCAGAGGCATCTCAAGTGCCAAAACCTCCCCCAGAGTCCCCAGATGCGCCTTCCCGGCCTCTCCCGCCCCAAACCCTCGAGGGGCTGCAGCCAGCAGGCCTTGACACGGGGGGCCTGGAGCGGGCCCCCATCCAGAACAGCCCCTGGAAGGAGACGAGCCTGGACCACCCCTACGAGAAGCCCAGGAAGTCTTCCGAGCCCGGAAGCGAGTCCAGGTCAGGCGGGGGGAAGGGAGGGCCAGGAGCAGGTGGGATCTGGGGGGGGGGCACTGTGCAGGAGACCCCCATCCTGCGTGTGATGGTGGGAGGCATGAGTCCGTCCCTCCGCACACCGGAGCCCCTGGATGGAGGCATTCCTGCTGCTGACCTGTCTCCAATCCCTCCAATCTCCAGCAGCCCGGCCAGCACCCCGCAGGATGGGCCCAGCGAGTCTAGTCCTGCCTCCTGCTACGTGGTCCCCGTCCGCAACGTTGCTGGGCAGCGGCAGGGCCGCATCAGTGCCCCGGCCACCCCTGAGATGCAGGGCAGGAGGGGCCAGTCACAGCCCCTGAGGTAAGAGACAGGCCACCCCAGTGATGCAGGGGGCGAGACCCACCATTGAGAATTTACCTTTGGAGGGTGGTGGCTTCCAGGATTATGTGGGACACCCGTGGGTGACACATGGCTTGTGCAGTGGCTTCTCCTTGGGATGTTTTCTTAAGCACCTCTCAACAGAGGCTGCACCCCAACCAGCAAAGCCAAGGGCGAGTCCCTTGTGAAGCAAGGTGTTTTCTTCCAAAGACTCCGGTTTTGTCTCTTTGCACAACCAGATTCCACTTTTCTCCCCGTCTCTGCAGACTCTCCTGCGAGAGCAGGGGTGTACCTTAGAAGATACTTTTGCAGTTGTCTGTGATTGTTTTAGTATTAGTCTCTTGACGATGGACGGGTCACGTTTTCAACGGACGTACAGTTGATTCTCATTACTTGGGTAGTTATGTCCTGTGAAGTACAAACGCTGAACCACTGCTCCCGGGGACACACAGGGTTACAGCTTCTGGTCACAACGCGTCTGTAAACTGATCCATACGTAACCTTGTTTTATGGGGTTTCTGTTTAAAGACACCTTATCTAATACGTACCATCGACTCATCAATATTGAACTCAAGGCCAACAGCCCTAGATCTCACTCCTGAACGAAGCTCATCTAACACGTTACTTTCTCCGTAAATCACGTCCCAGCTTCCTTGAGCTCAGGACACCAGACGGTCCTGCAGCATCAACTTTGGGGCCATTTTAAACACTGAAATCACCAACAAAACGCACAAAAATACGAAAAGCATGATACTAAATAGACTGTGGGAATCGTATGAGAGCTGAACCCAGAACTCAGAGCCTCGGCTGGGAAAGCCTGCTGGGCCCTGCGTGTGTCCACGCATGACCACGAAAGCGCCGGGAGTGTTGATTTTGAGGCTATAAATCAATTTGAGCAGTCGGTGAATTTGCAAATACAGAACCCATGAATAATGAGAATCCACTCAATGCTCCTTTCCAAGTTCCCTGCTGTTTGGCGCTCGTTTCAGTGACCGAGTTACGACAGGCAGTGTCGGCCACACCGTCCTACAGCCCAGGGCACCCTCAGGACATTGCTGGGTTCTTCCGTCAGGTTAACTTTGCTTCTGGGCAGCGCTGGGCTGGAGGCCAGAAATGCATCTTATAGTTTACATACTGGGGGGCCTTTTTACACACAGGGCCTTTGTGCAGATTAGTGAAAGGCGCCCCGCTGGACGGACAGGCCTGCTCCCGGGGTGCTGGCAGAGGGAGGCTGGATTCCAGCCCCGCTGGCTGTCCGGAGCTAGTGCCCTGGGGAGGGCCACCTGCATGCGGCCACCCTGTCCTAGCCAGCTGGGGCTGCCATATAGAGCAGCGGAGCTGGACACAAACCACCGCCTCCAGACTGGGAGGCGGCAAGTCCAGGATGCAGATGCCCCAGGGCGGTTTCTCCTGAGGCCTCTGCCGTTGGCTGTAGAGGGGCCCGCCCTCTCCTCTCTTCACTGGTAGTCCCTCGGGGTGGGCCACACACCAGCTTCACGCCTTCACCTCGGACGCTTGATGGTGTCCGCCCGTTCAGATTGTGTGGATGAAATGCCACTGGACGCCTCGCACCTGAGATGGCTGAGAACAGGAGGCAGCTGTGGGTGGCCTCCATGACCCAAACCCCAGAGTGCAGTGGAGCAGTGGTGTGGGGTGCAGGAGGGGCGTGTAGGGCGAGCCGGGCCAGGAGGCTGTGGGCACGTGGGGAGGCGTGGCCGAGGCCGCGCACGCGCGATGCCTTCCCCGCCGCCCAGGAAGGGCTGGCTCAGAGCCCCCTCTTCTCTCCATAGGACCGACCCCTTCCGCGCGGGCCCCGACGGCAGGGGTCGCAGCGCCCTCCCGCGCCGCCGCCCCACTTACTACACGGTGACTGCACCCGCTCCCGTGCCGTGCCCCGCCTGCCACTCGTGCTCCGAGGACAGCGGTTCCGACGCCTCCAGCCTGTCGCACCCGACGCCGCCCGGCAGCAGCAGCCCCGACATCTCCTTCCTGCGGCCACTGTCCCCGCCCGCGCCGCCCCGCCCACGCGTGCCCCGCGGCCCGCGACTCCGGCCTCCCCCCGCCTGCCTGAGGGCCGCGCGCTACCTGGTGCTGGCTGAGGGCCGCCCGCCGCCCGGTCAGTGGGTCGAGTGGGGCCCGGGCCGCGGCGAGGACACGGCCGCCCCGCGCTGGCAGCGCCCACCGCCCGCCCACGGCCGCGTGGTCCGGACGCCCTCTTTGCGCGACAGCCCCGCGGGCCGCGGGCTCAGCAAGGCGGCCGTGTCCGAGGAGCTCAAGTCGTGGCACGAGCGGGCCCGGCTCCGGAGCTCACGCCCCCACTCGCTGGACCGCCAGGGGGCTTTCCGCGTGCGCAGCCTGCCGCCTGGCGCCGAGAGCTTCGCGCGCACACAGGTACGCGCACGGGTCCGGCCCTCCCAGGTCCCGCGATCTGGCGCTGGGGCGCAGGCGCACAGCCTGCAGTCCGGTGGCCGGGCAGCTTTCAGCTCGGAGGAACAGGCCCCAGAGCATTTCCTCGCGGCTCTGGAAGGCCCGCAGGAAGACTCCTCTGGCGGCCTCCTGAGTTCGCCTCCACGTTTGGCTCTAGAGCGCGTGTCCACGTGCGCCAGTGGAGGTGACCCTCCCAGACACCTAAGACCTTTTTTCCTAATGGCTCCACCGATGATCTACAAAACAGAGAGGCCTCTATTTATAACCGTAAGGCCAATCCCCATCACCCCCCCAGTCTCCCGACTTGAGTGCCCAGGACGGAGGGAGAGTCTGGCAGTGTGTATGCAGGGGCCATAACCTGTGACTGCCTGTCAGCCAGCTACTGCGCCCCACTCCCCTCCCGCCACCCAGCTGAGAAGCAGGGTGACTGATGGCTAAGGGCGCAGGCCCCGGTTCAAGTCTCAGCCCTGCCAGCACTGGGCAGGTTTATTAACTCCCCTGATCCTCTGTCACTGTCTCTGTAAAATGGGAGTCTTAAAGGACCCATCACAGAGGGGCAGTAAGAACTTGAAATGAGTTAATATGTGTGAAATGATTAGAGCAATGCATAGTAAGTACTAATACGTGGTGTTATTATCACCTGGGGCCCCCCGAGGTCGGGGACCGAGTTGGTGGGCAGCATATAGGTGGAGCACCCCGACGTGAGGTAGCATGGCCACTCTTGATTTCTGTGCCCAGTTTTTTCTTTCTAGAAGGGGGGACCGTGCATGAGCTTTTTTTTTTGTCTGCGTGGCATGTGGGATCTTAGTTTCCCGACCAGGGATCGGACCCATGCCCCCTGCACTGGGAGCGCTGAGTCTTAACCACTGGACTGCAAGGGAAGTGCTGAGTGAGCCTTTCTTTATTGCTCCCTGGGAAGGAGGGCTCTGCAGAGGGTGTGCTCCAGAAGCCCCCGACAGGCTGCTGCTTTGAGACCCAAGATTCTGGCCGGGCCCAGCTGCACCTCCCTCCCCCGCCCCCAGTTCTCTGGGCTGCAGCTGGCATCCTGGGCCTGGCAGCACCCTGGCCGCAGTCCCAGGCCGCACCCTCCAGCTGACGTGCCTTTCCATGCCTGCGAGCTTGGACCTGTCCTTGGCCCGGGCCCAGCCCATCCCAACCTGCCAGACAGGGAGGGTGATGAGAAGTGAGCTGGGTGGGATGGGGTGGGGGAGGGAGCAAAGGTCAGGGTGCCTGTCACACCCCAAAGAAAGCTGGAGTGGAAATGGACGAGGGCACAGAGAGCCTGCCGCGGAGGCGAGGGCTGAGTGGCTGGGCCGGTGCTGCCACCGGTCAGCGTCCTTAGGGGACGAGGATGGTGTGGCCGGGCTTGCTGTCCTGCTGTCTCTACCTGCTTTGCTCACCCACCTCTCCTTTCCCCCTGGCCCGGGCAGGTGCCCACCGTGTGTGTGCTCCGGAGATCGCCTGAGGGGGCCCCCGTGCAAGTGTTTGTACCTGAGAATGGAGAGATCATCAGCCAGGTGTGACCCTGGGCTCCGGACACCGTGGCCGGCAGGCCGAAGAGACTGCTTCCCAGCGGGGCTGGGGCTGCGACCGCCCACCCTTGAAGCCCTCTTCGGCTCTCCTCCCCCATCGCAGGTCGATGACCTGGAGCTGAGACTTTTTTTTTTTTTTTTTTTACCAGTTTTTGTTCAGAAGCTCTGGCCTATGGATTTATATTTGTGGTTTGTCCCCAAGATCCCTGTAATATGACAATGCTTTATTGCCCAGAGACAGGCCTACTGGACTCGAGGCCTTGCCTCTGGCTAACAGCATCTGTCTCCGTGTGCAAGACGTGTGGTAGGGGACGCATCCCCAGAGAACAGCCCCTGGCCCTCCTGCCCCACTGCCGCTGGGGGCTGCACCTCCCTCCCCCATTTCCCAGCTCTCAGGCTGTAGGGTGCCCGGGCTGGGGGCGAGTCGTCCCCTCTGTGATGTGCTCTGTGATGCACACACCGAGCTAGGTTAAAGGTCAGTGTGTCCTGGCGGAGTCTTGTCTCCCTGGGCTCTGCTCTTTTCCTGACCCCGTGACTTCCTTGTAGGGGCCCCTGTCACTGTGTGCGCTCTTGTCCTGAGGCTGCCAGCATCGACCCGGGCCCAGGAGCCTTGGGCTGGAGGCCTCTCCAGATTGGAGCATCCGTAGGCCCTGGCCGGGAGCTGACCACCTTCTCTGGGCCTCTTGAGGGCTTGCAGGCCACCGCCCGCTCCCCCCGCAACCGCCCCACTTCCTCTGATGTCTTTTCATCGTCGTCATCCTAAAAACCAGCGCTTTACATGTGCTTCTGGAAGGGCGCCCCCTGTGGCGCGTTCCCAGGGCCGGGGGTGTCATTGCTCCTTCCCGCACTCGGCTGTGCTGCCCCGAGACCGGATTTCCTTGAAGGAGGGCAAGTCCTTGTTTTTACAGACATGGGGACACCCGCCTTGCAGGGTGTTAATGAGTCATCCTAGTGCTGAGACTTGAGGCCCGGAAGCTGGCCGTGCTAAGACCGTCCGTGGTCCCGGGCTCTCATCCTTGGGCCTTTGCTGCCGGGTCGGATCCCCAGATAGGGGTCCTGCTCCCAGGAGAGAGCCGCTGAGCTGAGGCTGGGAGGTTTGGGCGCACCAGGCACTGACCTTGCCCACATGGCGTCCTCTGTCTGTAGGACGGGGGCTACACAGACAGCTCGAGGCTCTAAGAACTTTGAGGCCTGGCCCGGACGAGGCACAGTTCTCCCGCTGCCTGGGGCAGGGCGGCCCGGCCCAGGGGTCGGGAGGAGGGAGGGGCCTGAGGGGAAGCCTGCATCCCTGTGCTCCCGGCCCGCAGCATCCTGGCTCTGGGAGCACCTGCCCCGTCGTGTTGACTGTGGGCGCTGTTCCGTGGCGGTGGGTGTCTGAGCGCGTTGCCCTTGAGCGCAGCCTCTGCCCCCTGCCGCCCCGGGTCCTCGCGGAGTGCGCCCTCCACGCCCGCGAGTCCTTCGCGTTGACTTACTGGTCCTGTGTGATGCCTGGTGCGCCTGAGAAGTGGCTGTGTCCTTGGCGGTGGGGTTTCCGTGCCAGTTACTCCAATAAAGTCTGTCTTTGTGAGGCGGAGCTGGTGAGGAAGGTTCTTTTGTGCTGAATTTCGTGAGCAGAGGATCTGGCCAGGTCCCTGGGGGGCGGGGGGTGGGGTGGGGGGGAAGCTCTCTGCGTCCCCGGGCAGGATGGAAGCAGGAGTTGAAGCTCCTTGGTCCCCCTACGCCCGGGGCCCAAGGAGCTGGGCTCTGGGGGTCCCTCCCCGAGAAGGACCCGGGGCCACGGCAGCCCCTGGGGGTTCCGAGACTGTGCTCAGCGATGGGAGGGGCTGAGCCTCCTCAGAGCCGTTCTGGGGGGAGAAACGGCCCCTCTTCTCCAAAGCTGGTTGAGGTCAGGGGCGGGGGGGGGGGGGACTGCCCAGGTCACAACGGGGCGGGGAGGGCAGCTCGCATCGGCTACCTCCATGCCTGCCCTGCAGGGGCCGCTCTGGAACCCAGCGCAGCGGCCCCTGGAGCCTCGATGCCCAGGATGGGCGTGGGCCCCAGAGCTGAGGCACCAAGTGTCAGGTGAGGCATCCCTTCCGCCGGCCCTCGCGGCGGCCCCGGGGCAGGGCGTGAGGCTGGGCAGATGCCCGTGGGTGGGCTGGCCTCACTGTGCCCTCTGCCCTCCCTGGGCTCCAGGGACTGCGGCTTTGGGGGCCGGGGCGCTCCATTCTGGGGTGGGCTCCGAGGGGACACAGCCCAGGGTCTCTGGAAAAGTGTGAGCATCCCAATCTCAGACCTGAACCTCTTCCACCAAACTGAGTCGTGGATCACGGCCCAGATTTTGTGGATTCTGTGTTTTAGACCATTATAAGGAGTGAGGCCCAGGGAAACCATGACCAGTGTCCCCAGGGTGCATGCCGAGGGGGAAGCTCCCCAGCAAAGGGAGCAACCAAGTCCAGCGAGCAGGACGGGGCGGCAGGAGGAGACGGGCCCCTGGAGGGTCCTCTGGGGGCAGGGGCAGTGGGCACCCCGGCTGGGGACCCAGTGTCCAGCGTGGGAGACGCGGCCAGGCAGCACTTCCCTCCTGCTCCCAGGCAGGACCTGGGCAGACATCTGGGGGCTGTTAGCCCCCCAACCGCAGGGCAGAATGGGATTATGAATTGGGCAAGGGGTTGGGGGCTTCAGGATTTCAGCAGCGAGCCTCCCAAGGCAGAGGGATGGGAGGCCACCTCTGAGTCTGAAGCATCCACATGCAGAGAGGTGGGGAGGAAGCAGGGCCCTTCAGAGGGTCCCCACTTCCCAGGGGGAGGGAGCGGGTAGCCGGCAGTGGGACCGGAGGGGGCACCGCTCAACCAGTTGCCTTTCCTTTTCCGCAGCCTGCCCTGGCTGCCGCCCCGAGTGTGCAGATGGACTCACCTCCCAACAAGGTCACCTTTTCACCATTGGCTGACCGTGTCTCTTGGAACCCTAACTTAGCAGGTGAGTCAGCCCAGGAAGGGGCTCTGTCTCAGCTCCCAGCGGCTCAGAGGTGATGGTGCTTGGTTGCCCAGCCCTCGCTGGCGACTCACTGATCGGCACGAGTCTGCCCACTCCCGGCCGCCCAGTCGCAGCTCTGGTCTCTGCGTGCCTGTCCCTTTTGAGACCTGCCTCCCTGAGGGGCCTGGAGCTGGATGGGGGCCAGGACATTGTCTGGGGCTCTTGACCGTTCAGGAGAGCCACGGCAGACCTCTAGGCCCACCGGTGTGTCAGCAAGTCCCGGATCCCACCCCTGACTTCCCAACTCTTAAATCCAGCTGCCCGGTGACATTTCCACTTTGATGCCTCGTAGGCGTCCCAGCTGCGCTCCCTCCGGACTCTGCTGCCAGCCCCAGACCCGCCCCACCCACTCGTGCAGTCCCTCAGGCTCCACATCTGCGCTTCTGTGTTCTCTCACACCCAGCTCACTGCTCTCCCTTCTTGGTCCTGCCTTCCGCATAGATACAGAGTCTGAGCGCTTTCTCCTACCTGCCCTGGTCCCAGCCCCCATCACCCCTCCCTTAGATTATTACCGTGCACCCCCTGCCACACTCCACACCGTCCCTCTAGTCTCAACTAGTCTCAACTCAATGGCCAGGGTGATTCTGTTGAACAAAACAGACCCCCTGCCACTGTTTTACCGGGAACCTACCCAGGGCTCCATCCCTTACAGAGCAAAAGCCAGAGTCCCTACAGCCATCCTTACCGTGGCCTCGCGAGGCCCTCCTGACCTGTGCCCTGACCGCTCTGCGTTCGTGGCTGGCCACTCTCCCCGCTCCCCCAACTCCAGGCTCCAGGCCTCCGGGCTGTTGCAGGATCATATCAGGCGTGGTCCTGCCCCAGGGCCTTTGCGAGGGCTGCTCTTCTGGCCTAGAAAGTTCTTTCCCCAGGTATCTGTAGGGCTTGCTCCTCACGGCCTCCAGGGCCACTCAGGTTCAGTCAGTGAGATTTTCTCTGACCTCCTGCATGTACACACACATACATATATATGTGTATACGCATACACACAAAAGCGTACGAGCAGACGCAGAAGTAATGCCTTCACAAGGACACGAAACAATGTCCCGTGAAGGGACCTGTTGATATGTCCACGCTACGTCTGTAAGCTCTGCCTGAAACAGCACATTTCACGTAAAAGGTGCTCGGTGAAATGTGTGAAGGAGAAAGCACTTATTGATTTCCTACCGCGGGCCAGAGGCCATTCTAAATTTTTTACGTGAATGAATTAATTTAACCATCATAACAGTGATAGACACTGTGATTATCATCCCCGAGTTAAAGGAGAATTTAATTTGCTCGAGATTTCTCCTCTATTTATCACTATCCTGTGTTCATTATTTATCATTATCATGCTGTCGTTCATTTAATCCTCACAGCAATGACAGGGGCGGTCATCCTCTCCACTGTACAGACGGGGAAGCGAGCTGAGGGACTTTAACTCGGGAAGGTCGCAGGGCGCGTAAAGCACAGGGCCCTGATTTCGGGCCCTTGAAACGTAGCAGCTGTGCTGTGCCTTGAACCCCACCTGCACACCCAGGGTGCTCTGCGGCAGGGCGGTGAGACATGGCCTGACCTCAGGCTTAGTGGCCGGTGTTGCTTCGGGTCCCAGGGCTGCCACCACCTCCGTCCTCTCGCTTCACCCGCTCCCGACGGCCGTGGGTGGGCAGGCCTATTCTTAGCCTCACCCCCTCCCCCGGTCTCTGTGTCCACACCTGGGTCCCTGCTCAGAGAGGCTCGCCCGAGGGTTACACCAGCCCGGTCGTCAGGGGAGATGCTGAGGCTGATTTGCGGTTTCCAGTCCCCTCCCGTTCAGGGATTTCTATCTGCGGCCCCTGGGGGTGACTTAAAGGACTCTCTCTTTCCATGCTGTCCTATCCCGGCCGTACATGATGCAGAAAATCTCTTAACCAAGTCCCCACGTGGTTGCCTTTCCACGGAGGCTCCTGAGGTCCACTCTTGGCCACAGGCCTGGAGAAGCTAGTCCCTGGAGCTGGGGCACCCACGCTGGCCCCCGACGGCTGCGGAGCCCTCTTGGCCGAGGGTGGGGGGAGGGGGTTTCTGCTTTCCTGTTGCACCGGGGGAATCAGCCGGGCCTCCTCCCAGCTGCGGGGTTGCGCCAGTCGGAAAGGGAAGCCTGCGAGCGTATTCTGGAATCTCTGGGACAAGAACAGGTGGTAAGGAAATTCTCTGGAGCTTTTTGAGAGCTGCGGAGGAAAGTAGGAAAACACGAGGGCTCACGCTTCCTTGGGTTTTGGATATTAGCCCTGGCTTGGAAGCTGCCTGACTTGGCCTCTTAGGCGGCCAGGCCACCGGACAGGTGCCGGGCAAAAGTACCTGCCTCGTGGGCCCCCGTCCCCGGACGCCTACGGAGGGGCCGGGCCACGGTGAACGCCAGGGCAGGGCCTGCGCCCGGCGTGGGGCAGGGTCTGGGGGCGGGCGGCAGGGGGGCCGCGGGCAGAGATTTGAGTGTCCCTCCATCCTAGTTCGACGTCGACATGCTGAAGTTCCTGAGCCGGGGCTGGCGTCCCTCTCTGAGGGGAATTCTCCTTTCCTCCTGGCCCTTCCAGACATTAATCCTTGAAGAATCCACGGAGGCCTTGGTCAGCACCGTGCGTCCGCAAGCCATGCTCTGCATCGCGGCCCTGAGGTTCCCCAGGCCGTTCCCTCCCCCGAGCCGCAGGGTCTCTGCTGCAGGAGCACTGGGGCTGTGAGGAGGGCAAGGCTTGGGGACCTGAGCTCTGGGCTGTGGGTGGCAGGGCCCATGACCACCACCTGGCCTCCCAGCCTCCTGGGGTGGGATGCCCCCAGCTTTCACTGTTAGAAAGCTGTTAGGACATCAGTGTGCGCAAGGCTCCCCAAGAACCCGGGGCCCCCTTCCCTGGCAGGGAAGCGTGTGGGGCTCAGCTCCCACTGTTTCCCGTGCCTCAGAAAGAGGGCAGAGCAGAGTCTCCCCCAGGGCCCTCGACACTAACCTGTCCTCCAAAGCCCTCCCGTGGCTCCTTCCCTCCCCTCCCCTCCAAGGTGAACCCGCCGTTCCACCTGTCCCAGAAGCTGGACCTGGCCAAGGCCGGCCTCTCCAGCATCATCCCCCTGCCGCCCATCACGCCCAGTCTGGACCACAAGGACAGTGCTAGTCTCTACATCCAGGTACCCACCTTGGCCCATCTGCCGGGGCTGGTCTGCCCCCGAGGAGCCCACCCACCCACCGTCCTCTTTTCTCCAGGCCTCCCTCCCCACCTCCCGGGGGTTGGTTCCTGCTCACACGCAGCCCACGTCCTCCTCTCACAAGGACTACGTTTCTCTAGTTCCATGACAGCCCCAGTCTCAGGAGGAGACAGTCTGGCGATAAACCCACAGATTCTATGGAATTACTGGCCAATAGACTTGGCCAAATCTTCCCGAGAATTTTCAGTTTTAAAGCTGGAAGTTTCCTTGATCAAAAACGTTAGAGAACGAATCGCTGACGGTGAGGGCCCCATGGGGCTGTATTTGTTGGCAAGAACTGCCCAGTGCCCACTGCTGCTCTCTGGCCTGCCAGGGGAGCAGGTCCGGGCTTCAGTGAGGTCAAGAAAGGCCAGCGCTTGGGAAGCTGGGAGTGTGGCAGCAGAGCTGGCCGGGCTCCCTTCCCCGTGGGGAGGGGTCTGAGGGGGATGGAGTGCCCCAGGGAGCTGTCCATCCTCTGACACCCCACGTCCCCCACTTGCGGGACCGTCCAGGCCTTAGATGATATGTTAAAGGCTCTTGTGCTGGAGCGTCTGGAGCCCAGCATGGTCACCCTGCAGAGCTTCCTGGAGGTGAGTGTCCACAGCAGTCAGGGACATTGAAGTCCTGGGTTAAATCTGGTGTGTTGGGGGGAGCAAAGGAACGTTAGGACAGTCTGGGGGCCGCTCCAGGCAAAGGCCATCGGTCCTCAAACCTCCGCAGGTGTGACTGTCACCCGGAGACAGGTTCCTGTGTCTCCCTCTGTCTTCATAGAGTCTCCCAAATATTCTCAGTTATGATAAATTGTCCCCCGTAGGGGTGAGTGTGAATTTGAGAAATAGCCCAGAGTCACTTGAAACCAACTTTCATGAGCAAGACGGGAATTAATTAGGATAATATAATTTTGGATATAATATTAGGTGTGACTAAAGATGAGGAGACAAGATTGCCCAGATATCTAATTTTTAAAATTAATTAATTTTGGCTGCACTGGGTCTTTGTTGCAGCACCCGAGCTTCTCTAGTTGCGGCACGTGGGCTCAGCAGTTGCGGTGCGCGGGTTTAGTGGCGGCACGTGGGATCTAGTTTCCCGACCAGGGATCGAACCTGGGCCCCCTGCATTGGGAGTGCGGAGTCTTACCCACTGGACCACCAGGGAAGTCCCTGCCCGTATATCTTACTAAAGAACTTTGATGAGGGCCGTATCTAGAGAGGAACTGTGTCCACGTTGGGACATCGTTCTTTTGGAACGTATCATTTCTTGTATTTTTTTTCATTTTTAATGATGTTTATTGTTTTCTTTCTAATTTTACAAGCAAAGCATGTTCATTGCAGAAAACTAGAAATACGTGAACTCTGCTGCCCGCTGAGGCCTCCCTCCTGTCGTTTCTTTGGCCTACATTCTGCAGCAGGAGGCTCCTGCTTGCCTTTAAGGGGGTCGGGGATGTGGACTCAGGACTAAGAAGGGAGGGACTTCCTTGGTGGCGCAGTGGTTGAGAATCTGCCTGCAAAGGCAGGGGACACGGGTTCGAGCCCTGGTACGGGAAGATCCCACATGCCGCGGAGCAATGAAGCCCGTGCACCACAACTACTGAGCCCACGCGCCTAGAGCCCGTGCTCCGCAACAAGAGAAGCCACCGCAATAAGCCCGCGCACCGCAATGAAGAGTGGTCCCCGCTCACTAAAAAGACTAAGAAGGGAGGGGGCGGTGCTCCCACGTGTGTGGATGGAGTCTCCTCGCTCTCCTTCCAGATCATCCTGCCTTGCTTGGTACAGTCGGAGAAAGTGCACGAACAGTCCCGGGCCTTGGGGGCCATTTCCCGGCTGCTGAGGCTTACCTGCAATTTCCCTGAGCTGTCGGTGAGCGCCTGGGGCGGCGGAAGGCTGACCCCTGCCTCTGTGCACATGGGACACCCGACTGGGGCTCTGCAGGGGGCCCTGGAGGGTGGTCAGAGCGCCTTTTTCTCCCCCCTACCCCGCGCCTGTAAGCTCCAATCAGGCACACACATCTCAGCCCTGGTGGGGGACCTTGGCCTAGAGAGCCGGGCTGGGTCCACAGCTCCCGTTGGCTACCGTGTCCCAGGGGTGTGGCTGCTCCACTCCCCTGCGTGCTGACTTGGAAGGTCTCCTTTGCCAGTACAGTGCGGAGCTGGTGGGTGGGCACCCACAGCAGATGTTGAGTGATATGGGCGGGGAGGGGATGGTGGCCCCCGGGGGTGGGGGTAGGAGCCCCCTGTGGACGGCTGGGCACACCCAGTGTCCTCTTCCTGCAGCACATGGCAGAGTTCTCGATGAGCGGGCAGCTCATGGGCACCCTAGGCCTCTTCTGCATGAATCCCAACCAGGAGATCAGCATGGGGGCCTTAGAGGCCCTGCTCTACCTGTTCAAAATCTCGTGCTTCATAGAGGTAAGTGTTATGAGCCTGGATTGCCTTGTGGCCGTGGCCGTGGGACCCTCTGGTTCGTAGGAGTGACAAGGACGACCGTGGAGACCCCATGTGGTGCTGGGGGCATCAAAGGGCCTGCCTCTCTCACAGCTGCAATGCTGTAAATGTGCTTTATCTAGATGAACCCCAAGTGCAGTGCTGATGCAATGCCCTCTTTTCAGGGGTTCCAGGAGAGTCTTGGGAGAACAGCGAGCTAGGCTTGCAGCCACCTATGAGATCAACTTGAATCCTCAGTGTTTCTCAGCTGTCCCACTGCCACCGTGAGGTGTGAAGCTGGGAAAAGGAGGCTCCTTTCTCACGGAACAAACGTGGGCGTCCCTGATCTAGGCTTTCTCTGCCCCAGGAAAACCAAAGATACAGACCACCACACACACTTACAGAGGTGCCACAGGAATTTGCAAGTCTCCCCCAAAGGGAGTTTCAGGAACTTGACGTTTTGTGAGTGAATAGGGTGTATTTCCTGGCTGCTTAGCAGCGGGTAGAGGGGGGAACATGGTACAGGAGCAGCAGCTGCTAGAGGACCAGGCACCTCACCGCCACACTCCCCCTCCACCCACTGGCCTGGCACTAGGGACCAGGGAACCCTCCTTGTTCTGTTGGGCAAACGTCATCCCACCTATAAACCCTCTTGATCTCTGACGTTTGCAGGGGAGAGGGCAGGGCGTGTTCCTTTTTCCCTGTTAAGACCCTGCCCCGAACTGTTGGTTTTGGGTCGGAGATATGAAACACGAGACAGAGGACATCCTGAAGGATCTGCAGAAGGATTTCCGAGCGGAATGGTTTGCCAACATACAGGATCTCACAATGGTAACCCTCGGCCTCCACCGAGTATGGGATGCCCAGACGGGGAGCCTTGGCAGGGGAGGAAGAGGCCTGGGGCGCAGAGGGGTAATCCCCAGTGCGGGGACGGGCCCCCAAAGTTCACGGAATGCTGGAGGGGAACGCACCGGGGGCGGGGCTGAAGGAGGCTCCCGTCTCTGACCTTGGAGGGCAGCACTTAGAGGCTCGGGGTGACCTGACGCCTGCACCGGGCTTTTCTGCAGCCCCGGCTCCCCGGCCGGCCACCAGCGCACAGTGGAAAGCTGTGGGTGTGACACTTCCTTTCCCAGGAGTGCCCCCGTGGTTCCCGGCCCCAGGCATCACTGGCCTTCTCTCCAAGCCGCTCTCTGCCCTTTGCCACTGACCAAAGACGGGCTCCCAGGGCGGGGAGGCCCCCATTGGAGGCAGCACGGCGTCCAGAACAGAGAGGGCCCGGAACCGGTCCGTGTTCTGCAGTGGATGGCCTGGCTCTGAGCCCGGGAGCCTGGGCGCGTGAACTGCAGCTGAGAAGTGCTGATATTGGCTTGCACACACCCGGCTCATTTGCCCGGCAAGGCTCTGACGGGCGCGTGAGGATGCGCTGAACCAGCAGCTGAGCTGGGACGTTATCTTTGTGGAGGGTGGTGGGGGGGGTCCCTCCCAGGGAACTCAGCTTGGACATTTCTGGCAGAGCCGACCCTGATGGGGAAATCTCTTCTCTGAGAAACTGTTTTGGGCGCTGGGTGGGTCTCCGTACAGTAACATAGCGACTGGGAAAATCATTACCACCCTGATTTTTCAACTTCTCATTGGTAGGAGAAAGGGTGCAGGTACAGCCAAAGGACGGCCTGGCTTTCCTCCCACCCTGGGTCCCTCGGAGTTCACTGAGTCCCGTGCCCGCAGGGCTGACCTCACCGCCGTCCGTCTCCTCTCTCCATGCCCCTCGGGGTCTCCTCCTTGCCCTGCCCTGTAACACCTTGCACTGAGCCTCCCCGTCTCTCCAGATTGCCCGGTCCGCCCTCTGCCTTACGGCCACCTCGATGGGCTGGTCAAAGCCCAAAGCGATATTTGCCGAGAAAGACGTCTGGACCATCCTCAGAGCCCTGGTAAGTCGCGGCTCCCGCGGCGCCTGCTCCTGGGCAGGGAGGCCGGGGCACCCAGCCGTGTGGGTCTTTTTCCTGCGGCTTCCGGGTTTGCAGTGGTGCGGTGATGAGATGCCCACTGGCCGTCCACTCTGCGCCCAGCACCTACATGTGGCTCCTGCCCCACCCCGCTCCCATTGCTTCCTGTCTGAGTTGGGGAACTAGGCACACAGGTGGATCATTCCGGAATAGTCGAGTAAAGGCTGAAAGAGAGGAATGTACTTCATAATGCAAGGTGGGGGCGCTCAGCCCAGTCTGGGGGTTGAAGGAAGGCTTCCTGCAGAGCTGTCCTCTGGGGGCAGTGGGGAGTGGAGGGCGAGGTAACACTGCCGCAAAGGGCTGGGCTCAGGGGTGCAGGTGAGGTGCTGCCCTACAGGGGGCGTGGAGCAGGGCTCTCACTCTGTCCCCGGGGCCTGGGCCACCTCATCTGATAGGACTTGATAATGGGAAATGAGGGCAGGAGAGCCCAGCGTGTGGGGAGCTACAAGTGGCTTGGAACCATTAAAGCAGGAGCAGAAAACTCAAATGCCTCCGGGCCACACAGGTAACGTCAAGCAGAGAAGCAGGCCAGGTGGGTCTGGAGGGCTGAGAGTCGTGGTGCAGCTCCGGCCCTGCTTCTCGGCCTCGACAGAGCACGCGTTCGACAACAGCCCCTTACTATCCTGAAGTGAAATGTGTGGGTAATATCACCGCCTCTACAGACTCCCAAAGTAAAGAGATATGAAACCCTAGCTCCAGAGGAGAAATGAAAGTACTTTTTCATAGAATGTAACATAACATGACGTGATAACATGGCAGGATGTGACCGTGATATAAGCGTGGCCGCGCCCGGCCCAGCGCCTCTAGGAGATGTGACATGGGGTCTCCTGCCCGCGGATGGACCGGCTACAAAGGCAGGTCGTGTGTTGGGGGCGCAAATAGTGACCCAACAAGTGTTGCCGCTGGTGATGTGACTTCCAAAGTGATGGACGATTTTTGGCGAAGTTCTGAAAATGTGAAGTACAGTCTTGCTTTGATCTATATTTTAGCTGCGTCCCTAGAAAATCCACTGTGTATCTGAACCATGAAAAGTACTCTGTGTTTCTATAAAAGACAGAGTCAAGTTCTGGGCACAGACGATTAGAAATAAGGTTTTGATTGCACAGGTATCAGTAGGACATGAGGAACTGTGTCCTTCCCCTCATCCTCTCAACAGTTCCATCCATCCCTCTGCGGACGGCACAGTCCCCACCTGAGAAGGCTGAGACCCCCTGATTGCATCTATGAGAAAACGTGGGCTCAGGGTCGCTACATCTTCCACTTCGCTATAGGAAGTGGAAATCCTGATTTTAGGTGCAATTTCCCGCGTTTATATTGGCAACTAATTTAGAAGGTTTGAAACAGTGTGCGGAGCAGAAGGAAACATCTGCGGGCTGGCTTGGCTCCTGGCTGCCGGGGTGCCGTCCTGGCACAGGACCACAAGGCAGGAAGCAGGAGGCTGGGTCGTATGGTTTGGTGGAGGTTGGGACACAAGAGCAGGACTTGACGCTGTAGGAAACGGGGAGCCATCGAAGCACTAAGCAAGGGGGTCACGTGGTCGAATGGCCGCGCAGTTTTGACAGACCGTCTGGCGGCAGGTCGGAGGATAAGTTCCCGGGACAGGACTGGGTCTGGGCCGGGGGCCAGGGAGAGGTGATGGGGTCATGGAGACGAAGACATGGGGGGTTAGCCAGTCTTGGAGGCTGATTTGACGTGGAGCGTGCAGGTAAGGGTGGACTCCCGGGCTCCTAACACAGGTGAATGCTGGCGTCGGAGGCTGAGGGGAGAATCCAGAGGTAGGACCAGGTGTGGAGGGGACGCCAGTGGCTCGACTCGTACACGTGGAGTCAGTAAGGCTTGTGGGGTCCGTCCCACTGGACGTCAGACACGGGTCACTGACGCAGGGAGAGCGGACTGGGCCGTGGGCAGGGACGTGCACTCGAACGGCAGGTGGAAGCTGCAGCCCTGCCTGGACTCGCACAGCGGGACAGGCACGCAGTCAGCATCGGGATTCTGGGACCCAGCGAGAGTCTAGGAAAGAGAATCCGGCAGAGGAGTGGAAGAGGGACGAGAAGAGAGGAGCGTCACGGTCACCCAAGAGGAGAAGCTTCGGGAAATGATGGCGACCACAGCATGAGTGTAGGAAGAGAGACGCTGGGGCGGCCCGTTGGATTTGGACCACAGGGGCTGCTGTGACCTTTGCAGGCGCAGGGTCAGTGGGGGGCGTGGTGGAGGGAGGGGCCCAGGGACGTCCTGCTTGTGACCGGGTGTGTGCACCCCCAGGAGGAGCTCTTGCTTACACTCTACAAGCTGTCCTGCCCCCTGCTGCACAGCACCGCCCCCCTGCCCACAAGGCCCCGTCCCCCAGGCCCAGGCCCTCCTGCCCAGCACCGCTGTGTCTGTGTTGCAGCCCTGAAGCACATGCAGGAAGACCCCGACCCCGCGGTCAGCTGCCTGGCCACGCAGACCTCCTACGTCCTGGAAGCCAAGGAGAAGATGAAGATCCCCAGCGCCCAGCTCCTGCTTCTGTTGCAGGAGGCCGAGAAAGGCCCGTTTCTGAGCCTGCGTCCAGGGCCGACAAGCCGGTGGCCGCGGTGACTGCGGCTGGGCTTCTAAGCCCTGCTCTAGACGTGCGGGTGCGTCCCTGCAAAGCCTCTATGATAAAGGGAGAGGGACCACTGCTGACCTAGTGGCTAGGATTCTGGGCTCTCCCTGCCATGGCCGGGGTTCAATCCCTGGTTGGGGAACTGAGATCCCATAAGCCGTGCAGCACGGTCAAACACCAAAAAAATTTTTTAAATTAAAAATAAAAGGAGAAAGAGGGACGTCCCAGCAGGAGGTGTTTCCTCGTCTTTCCCCTGGAGCCCATTCCCGCCCGGGGTAGAGTTGCCTTCTCGGCAGCAGCGAACCTCTGGGTCCAGGCCCCTCCCAGCCCCGCCCTCACTCAGCCAGGGCCCTGAGGCCAGAGTGCGGAAGCTCAGCTTGAACTGCGAACTGGGAGGAAAGCGGTGCTGGGATGCCGGGGCTGTGGGCAGGGCTCCTGGCCGTAGGCAGTGCCCTCTGGCTGGTTTACGCCGCTTGTTAAAGGGCATCAGTCAGCTCCCGGGGGATCAGCGTTCAGATACTGCGCTCCAGGCACCAGGCGGCTCCGCGCAGCACCACTGTGGCGGTCCCGTGGCTCAGCACACCCCGGCCCAGGTGACAGCGCTCAGGCCTGGGCATGGAAAACGGCCGCTGTCCCTCCTGCCACGCCGACGGGTCAGCGGGGTGAGCACCTACCATATCCCACTGCCCCTGCTGGAACCGGCCCTGCTGGGGGCCGTCCCACCATCCCGGGGCGGCTCTCCGTCCACGCAGGGCCACTGGCTGTTCCCATCGCCACCACCCCGCCCCGCCTTGGAGCCGGGGTGTCACCCGTTACCCCCAACCTCAGTCAGCCGGGCCCTGGGCAGAGCTCTGGGTACAGGGACAGTGACCCCACGTCCTACAGAGCAGGGGCCCCGCGGCCCAAACTCTGGCCACAGCGAGGCGGACGCCCAGCCTGGCTCTGTCTCTGGCCCTGCAGCGTCTGGCCTCTGTCACCCGCACCCCAGACCCCGGGGACGTGTGGAGCTCCTGCTCGGTGGCCGCGTCTCCACCTTCCACGCCTCCCTCTCAGCAGTGGCCACGCTCCCCGGGTTATCTGGGCCCGGGGAGCGGCGGGAGTCACTGCCACGCTTGCAAACAGACCTCAGAGGCAGCGTTGAAGCTCGTGCTAACCCGGCAATGGCCAGAAGCCTCTTCCACCCACCGCCTTTGTCACCAGCTGGCACTAGGGGCCTTTCCGGCCGCACCTGTTATAGCTGGCGGTGCTCGGGGCAAGTCACAAGACTCAGTATACACTCACGGTCCCTGCCTCGCCCTCGAAAGCGCGATCCTGCTTTGCTACAAGCAATGACAAAGGATGGATTGTATTATAAGCTATCAGCAGGTCAAGTGCATTGGTATAGGACCTGCTTCAGAGACAATCATGCTCCTTGCCTTGGTCAAGCCAAGTTAAGGGACTCAATGGGCAGAGACCAGCCCAGGAAATGGATTCTAGGGCCTTCTTGTCCTGGGATGATCTTGGCCACATTTGTCGGCTTCTGGGCCTCAGTTCCTTTCACCTGTAAACTGAGAGGTTTGGAAAAAACTATCTTTTAAGATGCCACCCAGCCCTGGCAATGAATGGCTCGTGTCAGATTCCGAGAAGTGCAAATTTCTTGCCTGGGAAAGCCGCCTGGGAACTTATATCCTAAACAGAATTTCTCTTCTTCATCCTCGTTTGTTTTCCAAGTTTTCTATAATAAACAGTTATTGGACTTCCGCGGCGGTCCGGTGGTTAAGACTCTGCCTTCCAGGGCAGGGGGCGTGGGTTCGATCCCTGGTCGGGGAACTAAGGTCCCACATGCCGTGGGATGTGGCCAAAAATTTTTAAAAAAGAGGCCATAATAAGCAGTTATTACTCATAATCTGGAGAGAAAAATCCCACATTAAAAGAATAAAAAGCAATGTCCCTTAACTCACTATTCCTGCTTCCCCACCCCTAAGTGCCTTGGCTTCTTCAAGACTTGAATTTGGAAAAACCACCTTTTGTGGCCAAAGTCTGGGGGCCGAGGGGGAGTCCGCTGGGTGCAGTCAGCTCCGGGTCCTCCGTCTTCTGGTTTCATCCACACCCCTCCCCGCTGGTATGCAGCTGGCGATGCCCCGTTGTCACTTCCCGCAGTCGACAGTAGGCTCTGTCCCGAAGGGCAGAATCCTATGTGAAAGATGGCCTGTGGGGAGCAAGGGTGGGGTGAGACCGGGTGGGAGGCGGCGTGGGTGGAGCTCGGTCAACCAGCCAAAAACAACCGGACTCCGGAGCCACCGCTGCTCCCCGGGGCTGGGAGGCTCCCGTGCCCGCCGCGGGGCCGGGGGGATGCGTCTCCGTCACTGGCTCAGGGTCCCCCAACTTACCAAGACCCTTCCTTGTGAGGACCAGGACCCTCTGGGGAGGAACCTTCCTCCGCCCACGGCAACCCCCTCGGCACCATCACCTGTCACCAGCCGTGGGTCCGGATCAGCAGCAGGGCCCGTGCGGGCTGAGGAAGCAGCTTGCTTTGGTATTTGGAAAACAAAGCAAAGAGAGACCCCATTGTCTTCTTAATACAGACCTCAGAAAGGAAAGCTTCCGAGTGGTTGGGGGAGGGAAGAAGGTGCAGACTGGCCCCCGAGGTGGTGGTGCAGGGGTGGGGGGGGCGGGGGGGCGGGGCGGGGGGGATGTGTGGTTTTCAAAAGGAAAAGGTAGGTTTAGATAGTTGCTGACAGCTCTTCGCTCGACCCGCCAGGCTTGCTGTTCTTTCTTCATTCACTCCCACTCTCCCTCTTTAAATGTTTGCTCAGCCTCTGTGGCCACAAGGCGCTGAGGGAATACAGAAAGAAACAAGATGAAGTCAGGACTGACCTCCCCAAAAAGAGGGTACATTTTATGGTATGGGAATTACATCTCAATAAAACTGTTATGAAAAAGTTTTGATAGAGCTAAACCTGACGAAGCAGAGATTTGCACACACAGCTAGTGCAGAGCATCGGGACTATGGACCCTGAAGTGCATACACTCCTAAGTTATATGAGCATCACCGATGCCTGGAAAACCGCAGTAACGAACAGGATCTAGTGAGTTACAAGCACGAGAGCAGCTCCGTTTTACAGCAACAACTCTGTGTCTTCCGGGGTGAAGACCACATTACAGGGTTGCTCGGCGTCTCATAGACGTTTTTATGTTAAAAATGGGGCTTTTATGTTCAAAATAATGGGACGTCTAGGCAGAGCACAGAGGATTTTTAAGGCAGTGGGAAAAAGAAAAGGGAATACGAGTTTCTAAGACTGAGAAGCCGTGATCTGGAAGCAAACGTCACGCCTTCGGTGGAGCCGTTGGCACGTGTGACCGTTTGTGTTTCTGTCCCCTCCTCCTAAGCCACGAGGAACAGAACCGCATCTGGGGGGCAACCCGCACGGCGCCTCCCGCCCGATGGAGCGACAGGAACGGGTGTCAACCACGACTCTGCCCTTAGCAGCTAGGATGCCCGGCAAGTCGCTTCCTCTGAGATGTTTCTCATTTCAGAAAATGCAAACGCCGCCTGTCACACAGGTAGTGAAAACCCGATGGACGACGCCTGGAACAGTGTCTGGAATGGAGCAGGCGCTCAGGAAACACCGGTGCCCTTGCCTCCAGTTGCGCACCTGTCCCAGGAGGGGACACAGGGCCTGGCCCAGATGCCTGGCCCCGCCCGCCACCAGCCCCTTCCCCCAACCCCTGCCCCAGGGAGGACCACCAGCCCAACATCCGTAGCCCTCAGGGTCACACCACACACCATAGACAAGGGTCATTCGCGTTTTATTTATGACAGCTTCTTAGAACACTCACATCTGGTCCGGGAACAGAAATGTACAGCATGAGGTTTAAATAACTTTCATACACTATGTACAGTCATCGGCAGACGTACAAAACATATATACACCTGTGCTACCACCCAGCGGAGGAGCTGAACCAAACGCAACCCTGCACCCGGGCAGGGGATAGCTAGAAAAGAGCTGGTGGGCAGGGCAGGGCTTCACGGCAGGGGTCTTCTCTGACCCTCGGCTCTTCCCGGAACTGCCCCTGCTTCCCTGCAAGGCCCTCGGGACAGGAGTTCAAAGGGCTGAACTGGGGTGTGGTGCAGCTGGGAGCTCCTCTGATCACTGGGGGAGGGGGAGTAGAACAAAGATGTCTTAGAAGAATCAGAACTTTCCCTGTCAACTATATCTTTGCACATCAGAGGGTTGGGAAGGGTTTGGGAGCCAAAAGAGGAGGGATTGTGGGGGGTGGCAGCCAAGCCCTGGCTGCTTGGGGTGCAAAGGGACAGAGGCGCTGGGTTTGGGCCACTTGGCGGGAAGGAGCTCAGCACTCTGGCAGGGCAGGCCCTGGCCACACAACACGGTGGTGAGCACACCGGGCGACGTGGGGATGAACGACCAGGGGGTGTGCCGGCACCCAGCCCAGACCGCTTCAGAGGACGCCCGGGAGCCAGGCCCCGCAACGGTGGGAGAGGCCAGGACTCCCTGACCGTACAGCAGCCCTGCCCGCGTCTCCGCCACCCCGGGTGGCGTGAGCAGGTCCTGGCGACAGTCCTCCCTCCGGTGGTTTGTGCTTTAAACTCCCTCTGCCCGAGCCACCCGGCCCCTGGCGGGCAGCAGGGCCGGACCATGCCTGGACCCACAGATGGCCTCCCAAGGGGTGGAAGGCGGCACCCGGACCGCCTCAAAGGCTCGGGAGTGCTGGCCTCTCTCAGCCTTCCCCTCTCCTTGGCAAGCTCGAGTCAACTCCAGGTGCCTCGGAGGAGCCAGCCCTGCAGATGGAAGCGAACGCTGGCCTGGTTAACGTTGAGCAGAGGCCTGGCCCAGGACCGCGCCGAGAAGGCCGTGGGCAGTGGCCGGAAGACGGTCCCGTCAGGGGCGCTTGCCAGCCAGCTTTGAGAGCTTTCCCGGGGCTCAGCCCCGGGACAGGATACGGGTCAGTGGGGCTGGGATGGACCTGGGATCGAGCATTCAACAATTCGGGATGTCGGGGAAAAAGGGCGCCACTCCGGGGCCCCCAGCCCTGCAAGTCTTTGGGTGGGCACAGCAGGGCGGAAGTAGTAGGATGCGTCCCGGAATCAGGACAGGCTGCGGGCCGAGCCCTGTCGGAGCGAGGGCAGCCCCTGAAGCGGGTGTCCTCGGTCTCCCGCTGGGCAGAGCCTCCTGGGAGGAGCCTCCCGGCCGGGTTTGCCCAGGCCGCCTGCCACCAGCCCTGGCTTGTGCTCAAATCACAACCATTTTGTGCTTCCACATTGAGGATGCTTGTGCATCGAGGGGCGCTGGGGGCCCCCCAACCATGTACCCAGTCCATCCCCGAAGGAGCGGGCAGACTTCAGTGCTCTGGAGCACAGCTGGGAGAGGCTCCCGAGACCTCAAGTTCAGAGTCAGTGCTTCCCGCCAGGACAGCAGAGCCAGCCTGCCGTGAGGTAGCTGACCCACGAGAAGCAGCAGGAAACGGGCAGGGCCTCTGAGCACCTCTCGTGGGCCCAAGGGCCCGTCTGTGCAAGGACAGGCCTGCGGCCGCTGCCCGCTGGCCCCAGGCCGAGGCCTCCAGCCTTGTGTTTCTACAGCTTGTAAACAGTCACGCAGATTCTTCCTTACAGGAGGCAAGGGTGAAGCTTTCTGTTGAGGTGGGGGGAGGGCCGGGGCCCGAGAGGAGAATTGCACCCACTTCTGAGCGGCCGAGGGGGCTCCCGGCACCCCCGCGATGGCCCAGCAGGAGGGATTTCCAGTCCTGAAGACACTGTCCCGGCTCTGGGCGTGTCCCTGCTGCACGTCTGCTCCCCCATCGTTGACCCCAAGTCCAGCAGGGGGCCCTCACAGCAGGACGGCTTTCTGAGCTGGGGGGCAGCTCGGAGCAGTGGGGACAGGGCGAGTTCTGCCCTGGCCACGTGGGGAGGGGCACCGAGGGGAGAGCACAGGGCCACCTCCGGAAGATCCAAAAGTCACTGCGTCTTCTGAACAGAGCTGGGGCTCCCGGCGCTCAGACTGAGTGAGGCCAGGAAGCGCAAGACCAGTTAAGCGTCAGAGAAAGTGTGTAAAAAGAAAAAGAATGCGGATTGAACAACATTCCGGGAGCGGGGAGTCCACGGCCCCCAGGAAAGGAGAAACTCAGTGGAGTCCATCCTCACCGCTGGCCCTACAGGGAGAGACCCTGGCCCGTGCCCGTTAAGGCTTGAACGCAAGTCTCCTGAATAACCAGGGAAAGACGCCAGGGGCTCTGCCTGGCCGGGGTGAGATGCAGGGGGGCTGGGGAGGGGCCAGGCCGGGCGTGCCGTCCAAGCCCCTTCATGGTGGACGGTCTTCCGAGCTGCTTCCTACGTGGCCCACCCGGGGTTCTGGGAGTGGGGACAGCGGGCAGGAGACCCCGCGGGTGAGAAGACACATGTGGCTCTGCGGGCATGGCTGGTGTAAGGCTGCCCGGGGCGGGTGCCAGGCCCCGGCGTAGGAAGGCACTGACGCGCCAAGCGGCCGGAGGCGGGGGCACTAGAGCGGCCCCCGGGTGAGGTCGGGGACGGGCCCAGGCTGCAGAGTCAAAGGGGAGCCGCCCTCCTCTGCAAAGCAAATGGCGGGCGGGGGGCGGATCCCCTCTGGGACTGCTGGCCCCTAAGAGCTGAAGGAACAAGCTTGTGGGAAGAAACTTCAAGTCAGTTTCCAGGAGGCAACAGCAAAAAATAAAACTAAAAAATAAATTAAATAACTGAAGGACGCTGACCGTCTCCCCAAAGGAA